AAAGAAATATTTGTAAAATATTGTGAGCATTAAGTGTCAAACACTGATGGAACATCACTGGAAGATCTTAATAATGACCTTCGTGTGATGTTTAAAAGCGTCGGACGAAAAATAATATTAAAAAATATGGGAAAATATTATCTTGGAAATATTAATGAATATATCCGTTTTTACGATATTTATATGATATTTCAAAATATCAGACGCTGTTAAAGACTGTGTTTAATGAACTAATGAATATCAAACTTATGTGCTTTCACAAAAGATATTTTCGGAATCAACAATGTTGATGCATTTTATATATTTTCGAGTTGTCAGCTACAGTATAGGACGTTAAAATCTAAGTAGAGTTGCATAAATAATAATTATCTTTCAATTTTTAAACTCTTATGAGCTGTATTAACTAATTTTATAATTTCTAGACATTCAGTTTCCAATGAGTCTCAATATTCACTGTTTGCCAGACATCATTAACAAACTAAATTGAATCAATGATTGTATAGTAAAAATAAGTCTTCGAGGTAATTATAAATTTTAGAGTTACTGAATACACCACCAACATTTTTTACTACACTAGAAACACTAAAATCAATTTTTGGGTTAAGATAATGTTTGTTGTTGTTGTTGACCGTATGCCTGTTTAGGCAGAAGGGTGCAATCTATGACCCAGAATTCGACTTCTGCCACACCCATATGTCACACCAGTTTACGGGACGGACCCATTCATACATCCATTCATTCATCCACAGATCGTAATTTTGACCTGAATCAGAGAACGATCGATCTCTAATCCAGTACCCCCAGAGGTATTGATTTATTATGGGAACATGGAAGACTTTGCGACTCGACAGATTTAACGTGCACCAGTCACCATTTACTGTTTTCGACCGGCGGGGCTCGAGCCCACGAACTCTCAGACATTAGCCCAGGCCCCTATTTACCAGGCTATCCCTGCAAGATAATGTTTTGAGAGCAGAATAATCAAAGAACTCGACTCTTTGCATATTGATAGTCGAGATACTTTTTGCATCTACCTTTACATCTGTGAGTGGTTGTAAAACTCAGAATTTCCATGAGCAGGTGTAAAAACTCATAAATGTAAAGTGCGAAAAAATCGGAACACGGCGAATAACTTTTGATCTATTCATCTGATTTTCTCATACTAGGATTCAATTTGAATAGTTTGTTATGTTAATTAATTAGCGCGGATGATATTTTAAGTCACGAAATTAGACACAAAAGCATACTTTCTCCTAAATAAACCTTTTTTTGCGACAGATTTGGATTTTCGGCCCCGAAAACATGGGGAACGATCCCAATCTGAAAAAAATAGGGATCTCAATAGTTTGGTAAAAAAAGCGGTCAATGGTTTGGACCTATTAATGCTAATTTTACTTTTTGAGCATTTCACCATAACTTTTCAAGCGAACGGAACAATTTTTGCACACAATTCATAAATTTGTTTTTTTAAAGATAGATTCTTGCAATAAATAATTTTTACTAATTATATATTATTTTTTTTAAATTAATTTTTGTTAATATTCATAAAATTTTGAATAGTAAGGTACACAAGATTGTCATTTTATATGGCAAAATAAAATTTCGACGAAATAGGTCCATTAGTCGCTGAAAAATTAAATTTTAAATGCACAACTTTTCAAAATTTAACAACAGCTTTTAAGATATTAGCCATCTTAGATTTTAGGTTAAATATTTGCATTTTCTCATTGTTTTTTGTTTTAAAAATACTTTTGACTATCGATTACTATTCTTTAGCATATATAAGAAAAAATGAAAGCTTTTTAGGTGAAGAGAATCTTTACAACATCTGTAGATTTTTCTTTTCCAAAAAAATAATGTGGTTTTTAATAATTTAATTTAAAACTATAAATTTTTGACCGTTTTTATACTTTTTTAAAATTATTGTTATAGCAGTTTTAAATTAATGAACGCGACTTTAAAAAAAAAATTAATCTTAAGATAACGCGAAAACTATTTATCAAAAACCTGAGCCACTACGGCACAGGGGATAGAGCGAATATAATTCTTGAAGAAACATTTTATGTATATAAAACCATCGTTGCACAGCAGGCCCTATTTTGGGTACACGACTACTAATGTTCAACTCCATACCCTAGTAATTTTGATATCAATCCAGAAGACAAAGGAACTTCCCCAGAGACATAATTTGTTATAGGAACATGGGGGACTTTGTGACTCTACAGATTTAACGTGCATCAGTCACCCTTTACTACACGGCCGGTGGGGATTAAACAAATGACATACATACATGAATATTTCATGCCAAGAAACAAATTATTGTGAAGTAATCATCGGGGTTGATGAGCGGTAGCGAACAGTGAGCTTATCCCCCTAAGTAACAGAATAAAATTTACTAGACTCTCGCTATCGCTACAAAATGCTTTTGTAGGAAATACATTTACCTGCTGTTAAGAGCGCAGTATTAAACGTAAAACATGTAATACATTTCTTATTAATATCTGATATCTCAGAAAAGTAAAATACGATCAACATTTCACCTTATTTCCTTCTAGCAATCCCCTACGATCATACTTCTTTTACAGGTGAAATTCGGTGCTCATTTCGTTATTTCATTTCCCCCTTCCAATGTGAACGATCTGGAGTCAAATTTATGGGTAAAACTCTTATAATTGTAATATAATGGTGCCTAAACGTATATTAAGTATTGAAAAATGTACGTTGAGTTTCAAAATGCTATTTTCGCGATATTTCCAATAATTACTTGCTTTAAAACAGCGTATGAAATTTTCTCTCTCTTCTAAACTATTAAAACGTATTCCAAAATATTTCAACAGAAATCAGTCAATAATTTGTTTATCATTAAGAAATATGTCATTTTTTCTGCCCACTTTGTTTCATAAAAGTAAATTATTCGTGACTTCATTTTCTTGACTGAAACGCGTATTTCTGCTTCCGAAATTTCATGCATGTCAGTACGTGCTTTAACTATCAACGTCATAGTTATTTTATTCCTCTCCTAAACAAGCTAGAAAAGAAATAGTTTCGGGTAAGTAAGAGCCCTAGAGAGACACAATAATTTCCCCGGGAATTCTTTACAAGAGGTTTTAATATTAAAGGAAATATATTCACATTTATTTAAAATGAATAGTCAGAAAAACACATAATTGATAGACACAAAACGTAGATGTGACTATGAATGACCAAAATGAGTCGTTGTTGACTTTTACCGGTGAATGTTTAACTATCAGTTAGTCACTCAGGTAAATGTCCGAAATATATGAAGTTAAGTGCCACTGCACGGTGCAAATTTGCTCGGTATGGCCTACATCAATGTTTTTAAAGGTTCAGTGCCATTGCCCGGTATACCCTACACTAATGTTTATTTAAGGTTCAATACCACAGCCTGGTATACATTTGTCCGGTACTCCGAACACTGGTTTTCCTAATCTATTCTCATCAGATATTAAAATAAATAGAATAATATCAACGAATACATTAATATCAAATCGGATATAACAAATATTTAGGACATTCACCAAAGCGACTGTGTGATAGTCATTGTTAGACGCAGAAAGTTGACATTCTCTTGATTTCTGTCAATTCACCATAACATAGAAATTAGATTGTATGCATATTGAGGAAAAATACTCTTTTTGAAGTCACCCTCAAAATATTGAAGATGTAGAAATTGTATGTTTATAACAAGTTAAAAATTATATACATCCGCTATTGCTAAAATTTTTTCTCCAAGGAAATACATTTTCTGCTGTTTAATGTAGGAATGCTATACAAAAAAGACTTAAACGGAAGACAGTTTTGTTTATTTCGGGTATACTACAGAAAAGGAAAAAAAAACGGAGATTACTTTACATTATTTCCTAATAATATTAATTTTAATTAAATTTGATTCGTTAAATTTAATGAATGAATTAATATTTGAATAAACTGTATTAACATCACGTGTCATTCCACTACAATTTCAAAAAAATGTATTTGAACTCTAGTGGATGAATTAAAAAGTATTTTATGAGCGATTGAACAATATATATAGGGAGAGTGTGAACTAATAGTAAGAACTAGTGGGCTCCTCCCCCTGCTCGCTGACGCTCGCCAACCCCCGAAAATTGCTGCGCAATCTTATATGGCTCGCTTCGCTCGCTACTAACTTAGGTACATTGCAAATGCACAAAATTCTAAGAATTCAAAACAATCATTCAAATCCATATAACAACTTTTTTTTAAAAAAAGAAATTTGCATCTTTTTAGTAAATACTAAGTCAATAAAATAAATTTGAATTCAAATAAATGACATGTAATTCGTTAAACCTATTACAAATGTGCTGCAGTATAAAATCTTAAGATAAAATTTCTAAAACTGATATCTCTTTAAAAAGGTTAAAATTTTGGCTATAATTAAGTCTATTAAAAATTGAAATAAGTGAATTGCAATGGAAAAAGCTGCATAAACAAATAAATTCTAGTAAAACAAATAAATTCGTGATATAAATCAAAAATCATCCAATAAATTCGTAATATATAAATTCGTGAAAAGAAGCGCTTTCGACAAAATACTAAAATAGAGATCTATCGACAAAGACTACTCACTTCTGCCTAGCCTATGCTCTCTCTGGTTATTTCAGTTTCCGTTTTTAAAAGCGCTATATGTTGAGCCATCTCAGCTAGATTTGGCATGTGACATTTTTAGCGGCAATCCTGGGTCGATTTTCTAGCGTTGCCATTCGGGGAGTTGTAATGAGGCTTTTTTTTGTCGCCGTGTAAGAGAAATATATATATATATATATATATTGAACTCTAGTGTATATTTTATCTTACTATACTCACACATTTTAGTGGTTATTGAATGTCAAAAATGGTGGCTTTCTTACTCCAAGTAGTGCAAAAGATCATTCTTAGTCTTTTCTGTGGTATAATATAAAACATCTCTATAACTATAAACATATACAAAACTTGGTGTAATATAATAATGCAAAGAAAACGAAAGTGTGGGCGAGCAGATTTGCTCGATTTATTGAACTGATTCGATGAATGGAATAAAAAGAAACATTTAGAATCTATGATGAAAAAGTGAAAAACACATATACATAATGACTGTGACTTCTCTTTGAGTGACTGAAGAGGAATGGAAGATATCTGGAAATGAGAACAAAATGTTATTGATTTCATAGAATATAATGACGATTCATTACAAAAGAAAGAAAATTATGATTGCATCATTGTTATCTCTAATTACCAATAAGTCAAATTTTTAAGCTAATATACGTTTCTTAGGGTTCTTCAAAAAATTATTTTCCTTATTCACATTTATACTAAAACAGCAGTCATTAACACTAGATTGCCTAAGGAAGTCATTTTGACTGCTTTTTAATTTCAATTAGAAAAACAATGATGTATATAATGACACAATTTCTTCAATTTCTTCTTTTCGTGAAATATATATATATTTTTTATTGTAAATATTTACTAATAACTGTAAATAATATAAAAAATTGATTTTAAACAAATTTCTTTACACATTGATTATTCTTTCACAATCGAGTCATTTTGACTGCTTTTGTGCAATATATGTTGTTTCAGTCTCTCTAGTCTTAATTATGAATAAGTTAATCATAAAAAGAACATAAAAATAAGTTAAATTATTATTATATAAAAATCTTAAAAATGGACGCATAGACATGAAACATGAAAAATAAAAACTCAGTCTAGAAAACAATCTTCTCTCTTGCTATTTGGCTAACTTGCCTTCATGTGTTGGCTGTTGCGTATTATTTGATATAGCATTTGTTGTTCATTGTTGAGATAAAATACTCATGTTCTTATGTCAAAAATGTTAATTCAAATTAAAAAAAGTTAACAAATCTATAACATAAGAGAGCACAAGAAAATTTATTATGAATACATTTTCTTCCAATTTCAACAATTAGTGGAATTTAACTATAATAAATACTTTTAACAATTTCCAATTTTAACAATTAGCAGAAAATTATCACTAAAAAGTGTTTTTTTTTTTTTTTAGCTGAAACAAAACATGCCGTATAAGAATTACACAGCTATGCTCTGTATGCAATATCAGAAAACAAAAATGTAGTCAAATTACCGTTTTCTTAGAAATTCAAGCAGTCTTCTATCAAAAATCAAAATAATTCTAAACGATGTTGAAACAATATTTACCTAGATCAAATAATAGAATAGATGTCTCGCGAATCGTAAAAAAAAATCTGATTATACTTTTATGTTTTAGATAAAAACAAGAGTTCAAATAAATTTTTTCGTAGAATAAGCAACAATTAGGTAGTAAGTGAATTTTTAATCTTTTCTCAATGTATTTCTGTGAGTTTGTTTAAGCTTAATTTTTGACAGAATTCACAATCATGCGACTCATTCGGAAATACTACAATAGCGATATCGCTTTTCATTTAGAAATAATGAAAAGCGATATCGCCATTCATAAATCAAATGCATGTTTAACTTATTTATTTTTAAAAAAAATCGTAAAAAAACGCAAAAAAAACCAATAAAGAAACTAAAAGAAGAGAAAAAGATTTTAAATAAAGGAATAAGAAGAAAAAAATTTAAAAACAATAATTATAAATTAGAAAAATTAACAATGAAAACCTCAATCTTGTCATCAGCTAACACGATAATACCTGCAAAAATAGTGCTATCTAATACTGTATTAATATACCCAGAGTAAAAATATCACAAAAATTCAAGGATGAAAATTTACATAAAACACAAATGGCAACATTTAAAGGTACAAATAACCAGCATAAATCCTTTAGAAATATTTTCGCAAATGAGATACGAAATTAAAACGTAAATAATGGGATATAGGCAGGCTCATACTGGCCAGAAAATTGGAAACTGGCCAGAAAACTGGATTCGAGCAAGGTATGATATATTATGCTGCATAATTCTAAATTAAAACTCTTTAAAAGAAAGCAAATTACTTAAATTGTCAAATATAATATGAAGTTTAGACTTATCAAAAATAGAGTTTTGGAATCCAATAGCAAAATATAAGTTATCTAAATTTCTCTTTGTATTTGGTGCAATTTCACCAATAAGTTTTATAGATTTCGTTTTATGTTTTGTTCTATTTTTTTCCTTACATTCTATTTTCTGCTTTTTTTTTTTACATGATATTTATTATTTAATGTCTTCCATTCAATTTTGTTTCAAAAAAAATTTTTGAGTGCTCTCACACTATTGTATTGATATATTTTGCTTTGGTTAGATTAATACAGTATTAGAAAGCAGTCCTTCTAGCGGATATGATCGTGTAAGCTGATGAAGAAATTATGTTTTTTCGTCGGATTTTAATTGAACTTTTCTTAAATATTTTTCTCTTTCATATATATATATGTATATATATATATATAATTTTTTTAAGTCGAAAAATTTCAGATAGCGGGATGCATTTGTGGAATACTTACTTTGTTTAGCTTCTTGAAGCTGGCTGTGGAGAAGGTTGAGGTTGGTTAGCTGAATCTATAGGTTGTCCGGCGAATTCAGGAAAAGCAGCTCCTAGTTCCCCTTCATAATCAGCCAGACCTTCTAGGCCTTCGAAACCACCAGGTGGGGGAATTAATTCGATTTCACAGATCTGCAAAAATACATTCCTTTAAATTTTTTTTTTAAAAATGACATGACCACTTCAATAAGTACTGCATTTTGTTTGACCACTTATTTATGATAAGCATTTCATTGCTAATATGAATAAATAAAAGTTTTCAACCTGATATTGCTCCTGAAAAAATTCTGAAAGCATCTTAACACTATTTTCGAAGCTTTTTTGCCAAGAAAAAAAATAAAAAAGCCACATTTAAAGTACCTTAGACTTGATTATAGTTTTAAACTATAGATACCACCTGGCCTGAAGAGTTTTCTGGGTTTTAGAACGGACACATACAGACCCTGCTCTGTGGGCCAGAAGACCATAATCTTTGGCCAAAAGTCAAAATTACATTTTCAACTAAAATATGTGTAGGCAGTTTTAATATATCCCAAATTAAGTATTCATAATCATTCCAAACATTATAATTTACTTTTTGGACTGACGAGAGTACAATTTAATGAAAAATACGTTAAAAATTTTTTTTTTGAATTTAACTTTTAAATTTATGTTTCAGAAATATATATATAGGAATTTCACCTTACTGTTATATTTTTATCAGAGTAATTAGTCTGAAATTATAGTGCAATTTGTTGGATTAGTTAATACTCTTGACAAACTGACATTTTACAATGTTTGAATGACTTTCGAAAATTAGTTCCAAAAAGTTCCACGAGGTAATTAGCTAAACTTTTTTTTTGTTGTCTTCTTTGATGTTTCTTCTTTCGAAAAAACTTGCCCCATTTTGCCCACATTGCAAAGGTGGGCTAAATATACCAAAAAACAAAAATTATGCTTTTTTTCAAGTTTTCGCGTTATTTTGCAATTAATTCGCATTATTTTGTAATATTACTTCGGAAATATAATTTGCTTTCCATTTTTAATATAAAATTACGAAATTATTATATTTTCATTGCTATATTTAAGTATTTAAGCGTATTATTGTGGTATTGCTTTTATGATGTTTTGTTACTTTTATCTTTGCTGCACTGCTCTGCACTGCTATAATTACTTTAAAGTTTTATTTTCTCTTTCATAAGTTTTCACCTGCCTTTTTCTGCCCTTAAATAATTCAGTCAAAAATAAAAAGAAATAGCAAGTATTGCCCTACTTATTTTTGTGATGGTGGTAGCAGCCAACAAGAGTTGTGTATGCTTTGGGGGCTTGGTTAGAGGAAGTAAGAGAAAAATGTTTTGGAGAGCTGGGGGATAGAGTATAAAAGATGAGATGAGGATCCTCAACAGCTATCTTATAAAATTTTCTATCATCCCCATGATTATTTTTTTCATTAGAATGCAGCTCCACATTGCATAATGTCATGTTTATTTTCATGTCTTATTAATTTGTGTTAATTGGAGTGAATGCCTTCCTGGTACAAAATTTGTTAACTCTTAAATATCTTAGTCAATCTAAACTAAATAAATAATTGTAACACTATGCAAATAGTGATCATTCTAATGATCTTGCTCTCCTTCTTAAGAATATATTACTTTTAATTGTCATTTGATTTTTTGTTCTTATCTTAATATGTGCGGTGATGAACTGGACATGGTCACTTGTCTAAGACTAATATTTATTTAAATTTCCTCTTTACGATTATTCCTTTTTATCTGAACAACACCACATTATTATATTTTTTTTAAATTCTTGTTCACTATATTTCAGCCGCCATTTTTTTCCTTTTTTTTGCTGGTATTTTTAGAGTATTTCAAAATTTCAACTATGAACTCAATTTACCTTCACATAAAACCCCCCAAATTTTAAAACAAATTTTATCGAAATACTAATTTTGGCCACGAAACCTTGGATGCTGGCCCACTGTGTCCTGGCCAAATTATATTAGACGCACTCTAAGATTCTATGTAAAATCTTAATTATCACGTGAATACTATACAGCTTTAGTGCTGAAGTCAGACGGTGAATAGATAAGGGTAAAATCCTAGAATAGACCACCACGACCTTTTGAAAACTCGTCAAGTTGGCGATTATTACTGGGATCAATGTTACTTCGTGATTATTAAAAAAAAAATTATTTAAATTATTACAAATTTATTAAAATATATTTTAATAGAATAAAAAATAACTTTACTTTTAAAATAAAATTTTGAATCATACACCATTCATCGCTCTCTTACCTTTTGCATTCAATAAAGTTAAAAATACACTCGTCCATTAGTTCGCCATTTTCAACCAGTACCGCACAAAAAAAGAAAACGAACTCATAACGGTTATAAATGAAATAACAGTTAAATGATATAATATCGATGATTCTAACAGCAAGAGATATCAGAAGCATAAATGGCAAAAAAATAAACCCTTTCTCCTCTTTTCTAACGAAATCCAACTTTCGCGTAGGCATACATATGAAATAACCAATCAGGCTTAAGAATTTTGGTGGTGTGATCGGACGTTCAAAATAATGTCCCCGAAATATCTTCCTAGTTTGTCGAGATTTTTTAAAAAAATCGCCACGGAGGGAGCAATTCTAGGTGTGTGATCCACCCTTTGAAGTGTAAGAAACCAAATACATTTTGTTAGAAGGAAGTTTAATTTACCTCAGCAATGTGATAATCCATACAAGCCTGGTACAATTGAACCTGCTGAATGTAACCGCCAGGGAACCTCTTCACCTAAATTGGAGAACATCAGAAATAATAATTTTGTCTTATTTTCATGAAATTCGACCCTTAAAATAAGATAACTTTTCAAATTATTATTTTATTTAAATAATGTAGACACTATATTTTATTTCCATTATTTAGCCAATATAGAACCTATATTAGCTAAATAATGGAAATAAAATATCGGATAAATCTGACATTTCTATGTAAGACCGATTGTTAAGTAGTTGTAAAATATCGGAAAATAGAATAACGGTCCTTTGAACCCTGATTGTTTGTTCAATGAGGGGCCATTTTGCTTTTAGGGATGTTTGGTCAAATCTTTCCTAACATTCGATTGAATGAAAATAAGTGCTAAGATGTTGTTGTTTTTTCTTTAAAAAATAACACTTAAAAAATTTATTTAAGTAAACAAAGTTTTTATATAAAATGTTTGAATTCACCTTTTCTACAGTCGAATGCAATATCTAATGCCAGTGGGGGAATGTAGCTTGTCTCAATAAAACAATACTTTTTTGTCAGTACAAAAAAAAAATGAAATAAATTAAAAAAGAATATGTTACGATTTGTTTCTAAAATTATTACAAGACTTTTATTAATATAAGCTTAAGCTGTGCAAACGAAACTTATATTTGACTTCTCAGATGGGTTGTTTGTTTAAAGTTAGCATTCTATTGATTTCAAATGTTTAATATTTACCACTCAAATAATAACAAAATATTTCTTTTGATGTGAAAGATTAGAATATTCCTTTTCATGTGTCATTCCATTGCACCAATCTATCCGAACTACCTTATCGATCATTTAAAATTAAATTCAATTTTTAAATTCTTCTTTTTGGAGGTAAAATTATGGATAAACTATTTAGAAGAGCTCATTGAATTATCGCTAAGTAGTCACGAGAACTTTTTTATTTATGGCAACCAGCACTAAAGCCTCCAAATAAGGTGAGTCGATATCTTTTACGTATTTTAGATTAGTACTGTGCAATTATTACGTTCGTGCCTGGTGCTCGTTAAATCTGCCGGGTCACGAAGTCCTCCATGTTCCAATTACAAATTATACCTTTGGGGATACTGAATTTATGATCTGTGGATGGTGTGTAAATGTGTCCTTCCTGTAAAATGGGATGTGACGTACGTATGTTGTCTCCGGATCATGCTCAGGGATGTGTCATAGACCGTCGCCAATAGTCCATTGTGCAGCTCTAGATCGACGTAAATCAAAAAACAAAGCATTTATTAGTGTTATTTTCTCGTTTCATTTTGATTTAAGATGCATTTTTTTCGGATTATAATTTTTTTATGTTTTAATTATGTTTTGTTTTCGATGGCTTTTCATTTGGCACAAAAAAAAGAAGAAAAGCAATGTCAATTTTGGCCTTACCTCCAAATTTATTTTTGCCAAAATTATTCTTGTTTTTATGATCATCTCAAAATGCATTTGTATTGGTACTCACATAAAACGTTTTGAACAGACGTGTCGTTCATTTTATTAAAAAAGAATTAAGATTTACCGCTTCTTGTTGGCATTCCTGATGTCTTCTTGAGATGTTTCGCTCAACCTAATAAGACAAAATGGTATTTATAGTTCAGTCAATACATACATCAGTAAATCTATAGAGTACACGCATTTTTTAAAAAAAATAATGTAAATTTGATATTGCCAAATTATCTGAGTTTGGTTGCTTATTTAGCATCTTAACGCACAGATTTTTTGAAAAAAACCAGCCAAAAAAAAAAAAAATCAATTATTTTTAATGTAAAAAAACACACATTAGAATATTGTCTTGGCTTTGTTCAACTTTTTTTGATACAATGCGTTTCTGTTCCGTGGAAAAAGGCTATATTTTATTCTCGAACAAATAAGTGTTATAGCTTACAATCCTGTGTAAATGATAAATATCAATAAAACGATTTTTTTTCCTTAGCTTTCACATTGTTGTTTTCAACTCTCGATTATGTTCGAGTGTGAAAAATCACAGCACCATAATATACAACGCCGCTCGAATGATTCACAGTGTGCACAGTTTGGCCTGTTTAGCGCACAAGTTAAGGGATTAAAATGAAGGATATCAAGTTGTTATTTTTCATAGGTTTCGAATTTAGTATAATTTCAATTTTAAACTCGATTTATTCAGTTAAACTTTTTATTTGCTGGAGTCGCAGTAGTAATTGCTTTTTAAGTATCGATTATATTTTACTTACCGGCAATCTGAAAAAAAACTGAAAAAAAAAAGGGGGGGAATAATAAGTAAAACTTTACTTATTATTCCCCCCCCCTTTTTTTTCATATGTCTATAATTTTTCTTTGTTTTATTCTTCATTTTGAACTTATCTAATGAGTTCTGTTTACTTGCAGCTTAAGCGCAATAAATGAAACTTATTGTTTTTCTTAACTTTCTTCGTGTTTTCTTGTATTTATTTNTTATGCTATTTTCATTATTTTTGTATATATATTGTGGATTGTTTCAATTACGGAAAATTAATATTGATTTTTAAAAATAAAAAAAAACACGTACTAATTACCGAACAATACTTCACTAGTCAGGTAATGTATAATTTTGGAGGGGTTTTTGTCCCCCAAACCCTCCCAAAAAGTCTACGTGTCACTGTATACGTGGTTAATTGTTTGGCACACTTCATCTAGATGGTTTGTTCCATCAAAGTTACTGTGCGCCTTGAACGATACTAAAAGTTCGACATTTAACCAACTTCAGACCAAGAAGATCAAAGCAAAATAAATGTAGCGATAAATAAGGAAATTTTGTTTAACTTTGGGGCACACAATTGGCCTTTATTTTGAGGAATTCTAAAAGCGTGTTTTTCTCAGTGTTAAGTTACCAGTAATGGCAACAATAATAGGGGAGATTTCTCACTTTTAAGTACGTAAGACTGAAGTAACTGTGCATTCTCGCCTTTAATTTAGATTCTACGAATCTTTACGTTATGTTGGAGTGATTTAAGCTACAAAGACAAAGCTACAAGCACGCTGTTTAAGCATGGACATGGAACGCATGGACACGCATGGACATGGAACGCGAATTTGAAGAAATCAATTGATAAAATTTAGAATCAAACCGAGTGGTCTCACATTTAATCACACTGTGTCCCATAAGAAGCTAGACATATATTCGCTATTTCAAAATTACGTTACGTTACATAATTCAGTTAAAAAGAAGTTAAATAATCAATAGAGGATTGATAATATTTTTTTTTAAATAATAGGCTGCGTTCTTTATTGCTGAAAATTCATTAAAATCTGCCAAATTTTTCTGTTTACAGATACGCAGTTTTACTTAGCAAAGCATTTTGAGCCAAAGTTTTAAAGAATTAGTCTGCGTGTTTTGATTTTTTAGTCTAAGTTAGGATGATATTCCACTATGTTAGTGATTTTAACTTTCTGCAAAATCTCTTATTTTCATTAACATAAGTTTGATAATTTTTCAGCGCAATTACTTGAAAACTTGCGTATGGGAACGTATGAAAGCTAACGTAAATTTGCGACCATTCCCTACTAAGAAGTCGTTGAAATATTACCAAAGCGTATAGCGGTGGTTGGATTTTTGTGATTCGCAAATTTTATTGAATGCCTCCTAATGAAAAGAATAGAGTTACTGCTTGATTTTTAAATTGAATTTCAGCTTTGTTTATGGTGAAGTATCATTAATAATAACTTGATAAACATTTATTTTTCTTAACAAGTATTCAGCTAGATATATAAAAAAAATTCTCTTAGAGAAAACTAATGTATGTCAATTTGATTAATTAAAACATTTTACCTGCTTTTCCAATTTCTTTGATTCAATTTCTGACTTTGCTCGGTCGAATTTATAGCTTCCATCTGCGTTAAACTACAACAGAATAAAATGTTGAAACAAAACACTCAGTATTAAACACAATTATAGTTATCAATCACAATAGTTATTAATAATTATTCCATAATTGGGTATAATTCCACCTTAAGAAGACTTTAGACGTCAACTAATTTTTATCAGCAAAATGGCGTATTAAAGTTTCTCTACATATATTGGATTAGGGATAAGTTAATTAAATACAGATTTGTTGAATTCTTTCTTCTCTACTTCTTTTACTTAACACTTAGATTTATTACTTGTTTATGAATTTTATTGTTACTGAGATATATTTTTGTTTTGTGAAACTGGCAACTTCGCGGTACATTAACTAATTTGTTTACATGGCCTGTCTTTGTGTTAACTCTCTGTATAAATATGGAGTAAAGAAATTGGAACCTTCGTGAAAGAATTTAGAAAGTGTCACTTAAGAAAATTGATACTTGACGGGCTAGGCCTACTCGAAATAGAATGAAAAGAACAATTGCTAACATAAGCAAATGCTACGTTAAACAACCAATCTGGATCGAGATATCCACACTACGTCACTTGCAGGTATCCCATTAAATTCGCAAATATGCAGCAACTTTTAGTCAATTAGTTTTTTGCGTATGCATACGTCAAATTGAATAAATTATTTGAGCTATGGATTTTGAAAAAGAACTCTTATAAAATGTTTACTGAAGAAAAATAATTATTAGTTTTTTTTAATTGTGTTTTTTTTCCTCCAAAGATCGATGAGAAATACTGATGCAATTATTTGTAAATGCATATCCTTTTAGTAGCTTCAATATATTGCTATTGGGACAAAATATAAACTTATATTTGGAAATTTGCTATTTCTTATATATATATATATATATATATCAATG